CACACACAGGCCCCTCCATTCGCAAATGACCAAAAATTCTTGAGAACAGAAACCGTTCGATTTTCCCGAGCGTTATGAGAAATAGAGACGGACATTTTGTAATGTGATTGAAATTGTCATCTGTTTGAACCTTTTTGTCACTGTACCTGGCATGTTGTTGATCAATAAAGGCAGGTAGGGATAGATTTTACAAGAAGGTAGAGCCAGAGCTGCAAATAAATATTTGGTGTAAATGACAAATCCTAGCATATCCATTGGATGCCCTCAATATAAGCCAGATCCATTGTTACCATGGTTGGAAATGGTCCCTTGCACTACTAGATCTCTATACTATATAATTTTACAGAGTGGCTAGCCGTGCTTAGCCCGACAGTCTAGCTGTACTTATTTATTTACGCCCTCTTAGGGACCTGTTGAGTACACAGGTCTCACTAGTCGGCTAATTATTCAGGTTTAAATTACATGCCCTGTTAGTAAAGCAGCTTTTGATTTCGTCTCAAATACAAATACTTTAGTGGGTATGTATTTCAAACTAAAAATTTATTTACAATTCAGTAGGCCTGTTTTTTGCTGTTTGTCAGTGTCGCCATCATTATTATGTACGGCTAGCCTCTTCCGTGATTTTATGTGATGCCTTTTTTCGTGCATGCTGTTTGCATGATATATGTTCTTGAATGATTTTTCTCAGTCCATTGCAGATGATTTATTGCTACCAGTAGATGCTGATTTTTTCTTGCTCCATTATTTTTTTGTAATTTAAGTTGTAATTATAAATTCATGAAGATGAAGAAGTAATAAAGTCCTTGCTTGTTAAATATTTATGTTTTTACTTCAGAGCCCAGCACATCTACCATGTCAGGCTGGAGTATGCACAACCTCATGATTCCTCCAGACTCAGCTATGAGACACTCCCAGTATTCTGTCCTTGGGGACCAAGAGGAACTGAACAGCGATTTCTTAGTGCATGCTGATAGTGGAGATTATTCTCGCAATTCTGGGCCAATCTTTTGCACAAGAGATAATCTTTTGAACTCTGTTGCATATATCAACCAGGTGGGTGGCCCAGAATTTGTGTCAAATTCAGTTTTTAGAAGCAAGAGTTAAAATTGGGGAAACAAAAGTTTTAAATTTAAAATGAGACTTTTGACGAACAATTATAAATAAATGTTCTAACTTCGAGAGTTTATTTCCTACAGTTTTTCTACTTCTTTCCATCAGTGTGCAATATATCGAGACATTCTCTTTGTCAAGGTGTTGCTATCCTCTGCCTCCTTCATCCTTTTACTCCATTACTTTATCTCTACTAAGCTAATGTTTTGTTATTGGTCAGTATGTCCAGATTAAGAGTAAGGCTCCATTTTTTAAATCACTTCTTTATTGGTTATTTCTCAGGGCTGAAATACACAGTCCCTTACAGCTGTAAGTTCCCAAGAAAAATATGGTAGTTTTAAAGGCGACAGCATTAATGGGGTTCATAATCCAGCTTTGACCTCTTTTTAAAGTTTTATTAAGGTTTTCTGGCGCTTGCAACTGCATAAGGTCATATGAGCTCCATCTGGCCTCTTTGCTTGGTAGGAGCAAGGTAGAAATGATAAAACAGGAACTGTATAGGATGAAACTAAATATATTGGGTCGTTCAGAAATAAGATGGAAAGTCAAGGATCAACCAAAACATGAAATATAACATGAACATGGTCGCTTTTATGGACAAGCAGGCTAAACCAGGGGGGGTTCCAGAAATCTTGACCTACACAAAAAATGGGCATTGCCTTACCTATTAGAGAAGTTTGGTTTCATTGGTGTGTATATTTGTTTGGTTATAGAGAAAACTCCTCGTGTCTTTTAAAGAAACTGAACAAGGGGCAAAAACTTTACCTTCAATTTTCTCAAAACGGTATTATTCTGGATAGCCCCTTAAAGCCACCATATACAACGACAAATTCATGGAAGAGGTGATGGGATTTTTTATGACGCAGCAAAAAAACATCCAAAGCATTTGGGGAGTGTCATTATAGCTAAATTAGAAGTGAAACCCTGTCCATGGCTGCGAATGCTGGACAGTTAACTAAGATAATGACAGAAATGTGGTGTCTTACGAGACTTGAGAATTTTATGGTACGAAACAAATGAGGTACTGTTAAAGGAAGGCCATGTGGGCTACTGACTAACAAAAACAACAACATTAGAAAGAAACGAAGGCAGTTGCTGTGACATTTGAATAGACGTAAAACATGTGGGTGGTTGGCTAGTGCTCTGGTGTGGTTTTCTCCTTCTGTCCTATCAATCATCTATCGTCCTTATCTCTCCTCCTTTTTTTAAAAAACTCTGTTGTAACACCTCTAATCTTCTGCACTTAATAAAATTGAATGATGTTATTGTGTTGCAACTGCCGTATAAACTTCTACTAAAACTAAAAGACATTTATAAAAGGCCTTATGAACATCATGCTCTCAGTGCGAAAAAAAAAAAAAATGAAGCAAAGGTAGACCAAGGACAATTTGCCGAAAGAACTTGTACAGTTGGTTGACGGTGAAAGTTCAGGACAACATAGGTTTTTGAGAGCATCTGAACACAGAAATGAGTTACAAACAATGATCATCATACAATTTCTGCTTCAAATCTGGCACTTCATGATATTGATGATAATGCTGATAAGGATAGATTCACAGGGACTTTTAAGCTACTTTGTTTTACTTTTGAAGTTTCCAGACTTAATAGAAAGGAGTCGTTGGTTTGTTAAGTAATTTATTTGTTTTTTAAATTTATTTTTGAATAATAGGAACTTGAGCTCCTTGGACTCTCCTGTCTAAGGCTTGACACCGCCAAAGGGGCGTTTGATACAGTTTCGTTCGTCAACCGCATGTACGACCTGCTAACTCTGTACCACAAAACTCTGGCTGTAAAGGAAAATGTGGAAGAACGGTATGGATTTCATTTTTTTCTTGTGACTGTTTCCTTTGGTCAGTACTTATGATCTGATTTCTTTCAAATTGCTATAGAGCAGACTTGTTGACATGGTCAAGTTGCTTCTTTCTCTCTCTCTCTCTCTCTCTCTCTCTCTCTCTCTCTCTCTCTCTCTCTCTCAGTTGTACTATTTTACTTAAAATTAGTACATGAGTATGAATTTACAGCTAAGGGACTCATTTCCATTTACTAAATTTAATTTATTGTATATAAATATATATTGTAGCCAATGTAAAATGTTATTTATTTGAGAACCGATCAGAATTTGTGGAGGATCAGATGTTCCTCCGTCATGTTCAGTCACCATACTGTAACTCAAGCGTCCTACGGTTGCTGTATCAGTTACTAAAAGGTTAACTTTTTATCTCCGTGGGGGGTAAACCCACTATGCTGGAGCCCCTTTTTTTGTACTCAATCTAAAAATGACAAAATCATCACTAAATTGGTGATTAAAACAAAACAAGTGAGCCTATCTCGATAGTTCTTCATCTAATAAATGAAATCCTGATAAAGAGAACTATTTTCGGCAACGGCCAAAAATTAATTTGATGTCGAAGTCATCGTAAAGGAATGTGCCCGAGCTGCTGTCAGCAGCTCACTTCCACAGTGGTTCCGACCGCGACTTGCCGGAGATAAAAAGTTAATTAAGGGATAACTTATTTTATTGTCTTTTTACCTTTCAGCACGAGCACTGTCATGACTTGACAATAACTTTTGCAGCCTTTCTATTTTTTCCAGCTTCAGTCTCTGTATTTTCTTGGGTGATGTACAGCAGGATATCTTGTTAGATGCTCAGAGGTTGATGTTCAATAGAAATACAGTTTATATAGAATTTTATAAGGCATTTGGCTCTATGAGTGATTTGTAAATAAATTGAATGGTTTTACACGATAACAACTGAGCTGTCTAAATTCTTGGGAGAGTACATCTGATAGGTCATACTTCCTTCTTTCATTCCTCTGTTGTTGAAATGAATAATCTTTCTTTTTCCTGTATTTTTAAACGATCACTGGGTGACATGTTTCTTGTTATCTCAACGAAAGAAGAGAATAAATCCTCTCCTTTTTTATTTTAATCTAGGAATCACAAATTGTCCTGTGAGAGCGAGCATCGGCAGTCTGTGAACTTGAGGATGAAACATTTGCAAGAGCAGGTGGATCGGGAGTTGGCTAAAGAGCAAGAGAAATTTCGACAGATTAATGTGAAGTACAAACAGATCTGCAGCAAAGTGAAAACGGAAAAAGAGGAGGTGAGGAAATGAAGTCCGTGATTCTGTGTTGTATAGATATGCAGAATGTTTACGGTTAGTGTGTGAAATATTGATACTGCACGAGCTGCGTAGTGTTAAAAGAAAATGAATGAAGAGTGAAAGAAAATATATAAATGCGGACAATGTTGATCAGTCAGCAGATTTAAGAAAAAAAAAGCTTTGTCAAATACTTCGGAAGAATCACATGAAAGAGATGTAGTGGTTTGTTAGTGTAGAAGTAACATGATCTCTCCATCGTGACCACTATTCTGCTGTTAGTTGACTTCACGCTTTTTTCATTTTTGGCACCAAATTTTTTAATTTACTAAATCGAAAGTCTGATCACTTACCCTCCTTTTGTGAAAAAATCAAAGTGAAACTGTGAATAGTTTGTGAATAAGTTAGAATTCAAATTCCGGAAGAATACTATTTTTAAATGGTTACGCCTCTTTATCTCGAAACTGCTGTGAATGAAAAAAAGGCATTTTGTCAGCTTACGGCAGTATTGTGTCAATGTGCTTTCTTGAAAACTTTCTACACGGTTTTGTTCTCATTTTTATGTGAATTTGTCATCACGTCTGTTGTCATCCTTTGGACTCCTTTGAAATCTTTGTCGACCAGGCGAAAAGACTGACTGCAGCCATTCATTCTAAAGAGGTGCAGCATCGACACGAGCTGAAGAAGAAGGAGAGGGAGATCCACAGGCTGAAGGAACGACTGCACCAGCTGCTCGCTGACAAGGTGCCGGACAGGAAAGTGGGTAGGTAGAATTTCTCTCTCTCTGACACTGGAGACACGTTGGTTGTTGTTGTCCTTGATTTCATTATGATGATTTTGGTTCCTCACAAACATAAAGCAAGATGCGTATTGTCAAGAGTTCAGTGGGGTTGTTTATGGTTTAGAATCAATAAGTTTTATTTTTCAAGGTGAAGACTCTGTATATCAATTTGTTACAAACTGGAAAAGAGGATAATGCTTACTCTTATTTTGGAAATAAATGTGCCCTGACATGTTGGAATAGGCACTCATCAATTTTTTGACGTTTAGGGTTTATGGTATCATCTTAAAGCTTGTTTATATTTTGTCTTGCTTTTGCTGAAAAAAAAAAAGTACACATCAATCTTGAATCGACGTGCTGGTACTTGTAATTGAAGGGGGTAGGGAGTCACCTGGTGTCAGAGGTGCAAAAATGGCCGCCAAAGTTTGATGACATCCGAAGCTTGGGTGTCCTTGGAGTTTACACTTTTTTGTACCTTTGATCAATGTTCTTCAGTAAAATCCACAAAAACAATGTGTTTTTAAGTGGAAATGAAAGTGCCTTTGATCAATGTTCTTCAGTAAAATCCACAAAAACAATGTGTTTTTAAGTGGAAATGAAAGGTGCTGAGCCTACACAAACAAATTCGATAAAATTATCTGGAGAGGTGGGAAAAATGTTGCTTTCTTCGATTAAATTATTTTGACGAGTGCCTGATTTCACCATGATGTCGCACAAATGAAATTTTTCCTGAAAGCAATTTTTCTTAAAAGAGTCACAACACGGTGGAATCAGGAGTTTATAAATTTTTGGGCATATAGAGTTATTGGTATCATCTTAAAGCTGGTTCGTTTGTCTTGCTTTTGATTTTTTTAAACACCCCTCTCTCTTGAATATAAGTAAAGAAATTTTGGATATAATGGCTGCCAAAGTTTTGTGACTTTCCACGCTTGAGAGTCCTTGGAAACAAAATTTACCTTTTTTATGCCTTTAATCAATGTCTCTCTGAAAATTCCTCACGAAAATGTGTTTTTAAATGGACATAAAAGGTGCTGAGTCCAAAAACCAAAAATTTGATGGCAATTGCCGAACCGACCCAAAAATATCGATATCTTTGATTTCCTTTTGTTGACAAGCACCTGATTTTCCTACGATGCCTCACATTTTCCTACGTGTGTTGCAGGAATGGACCTGATGCATGTTGTTGGACTGAGCGAGGGCCGGCGAGCTACGTGGAAAGTGGGCCTTGAAAAGTGAGAGGAAACTAATAGGCTGGTCACATTAGTCAAGTGGCTGTGCATAGTAATATGCTATCACTGTAAAAGTAAGATGTCAAACTAAAGCCAAACAAAACCAAGTGGTTTGGGTGGTTTGAGGATTCCCACTGGCTGGCCTCCTTTACTCTTAGACAGTTACTTTTGTCTACTAGTCATGTTTTTCTTTGCACTGATTGGTCATTATTATATTCATAGGCTTTTCTTCACTCGAGTTCAGATTCAAGCAAAGCGGGTAAATATTAGACACGAATACATATTTGCTTAATTACGTAATGACGCATAAATAACATAACAAACATAATAACACTCGAAACATAATTTTGGTTTATTACAGGCAGGAAGAGGAGATGTATCAGCTTCTCATCAATAACTATGAGGAGCGACATCATGAGCTCATGCAGGAGAACTCTGAACTGCGGGACTGTCTGCTAGCCTTGCACAGAGAGTTGTCCGCTCTCCTCAAACACACAGGGGACATGTCCTCCTCCAGTGGGGCTGAGGTACGTACAGTGAAGATGGTGCAAACATATATGAGGCAGCGTAGGGAAATCAGGCGCTTGTCAAAATAACGAAATTGAACAAAACAGCATTTTTCTTCCCGTTTGGCAATTTTTGTCGAATTTTCATTTTTTGACTCAGTACCTTTTGTTTCCATGACAAGGACATGTGGTTACTTGAGGGAGGCTTTGCGCTGACAAGAGCGAAATGCTCGCAGCTAAAGGGATTTGAAAACAACAACAACAACAACTTTTGTTTCCATTTAATAACAGTTTGCAGTGTGGATTTTATTTTAAAACGCTGATTAAAACACAAAAGATATAAACTTACTGTTTCGAAAGACTCTCAAGCTTTGGAAGTCATTAAACTTTGGCGGCCTTTTTGTGTCTCATTTAACCTATGAAACTAGGTGACCTACACCTTCTTCAATCCAAAATATCTTGACTTCTATTGAAGATGAATGGATTATCTTTTCATCGAAAGCAAGGCAAATTAACATGCCTTAAGATAATACCAATAACTCTATATGCCAGAAAAATTGACGAACGCCTGGTTCCACAGCATAGTGACACATATTGTGAGGTTTTCGACTCTAATCGTTCATCTGCCGAATTAGGTCAAAGATTTATATTTATCTCGAATTATGTTACTCACAACTGTGAATTATAATTAGTGATTTTATAATTTGTAAAAAAAAAAACCCTACCCATTTTCCCCAAATTTTCAGCTGTTCTAATAGATAATAAGAAAGAAATTATGTATGCTTTCTATTTTTCTGAAATCAGTGTTCATGCACATACATGTTAGAGTTGGACTATGACCATATTCTTGTGCATCAATCATAGTTTGTTTGTGGGTGGTTCACAGGTGCTCTGGTGCGGTTTACTCCTTCTTTCCTATCAAACATCTATCGTCTTTATCTCCCCTCCTTCTTTTTTGTGCTTGTTACTCTCTTGTAACACATCTAGAAGCACTTATATGACTTTATTGTGTTGCAAGTGGAGTAAAACACTTACTAAACCAAAAGTTTGTTTGGAGAAAAGAAGGAACAGATAGGGTAAAATTCCTGACAGTAATGGCACTGTTTTCTCCTCCTGCGTTGACTCTTTACTCCGTTTGATAAAAGTGACATAATGGGTTTTTTCACTGGCTCCACAGTTGTCATTTCCTGCTGGTGATTTATCATCGGGGGAAGAGTCCGACGACATCATGAAGCGAGGACCGAGACTGTCGATGAAAGACTTGGAGGCAGGTGAGTTGTGGACATTTTGGCTTTTTTTCACTTTTTGTTTTGTTGTTGTTTAGTAAGAGTTTTACTGCAGTGGCAATTTTACATGAGGTCATATGAGTGACCTTTTTGTTTTGTTGTTGTTTAGTAAGAGTTTTACAGCACTGGTAATTTTACATGAGGTCATATGAGTGACCTTTTTGTTTTGTTGTTGTTTTGTCTTTTTTTGTTTTGAATTAGAATCCTTTAAAAAAAAATTTTTTTGCACATGAAATGATTATAAATGCATTTGTTGTTTCAACTGGGCCGTGGTTGGATAGTATACATTTTCTTTAACCTGAACTTAAGCAAGAGAATAGAAACGGATAATAATCTTTTGTTTTTGTGTGAACTGAATATTTTCTGTTTGGTATCTTCAGGGAAGTTTGCATCATTATAATATTATGTCTTACTTAGTTTGCTGAGAGCATGGTCTCGCATTTAGTCTGTCCTTTGTTGGGGGGAGGGGTGTGTTTCAGTATGTAACATTTATGTCCTTTCTTGTTGTGTGTATGAGTGCACATGAACCTGGTAACACCACTGCCATTGTGAACTACCAAGACAAATTTCTCCATGCAAGATAAATATTGTCATTATCATTGTTAGTAAATAAGCCATAACTTATTATAATTGAGTATAATATGGAAATGGATATATTTTTTAGGGTGAGATTAACTTTCAACCTGTTAAAAAAAATCTCAGAAGTCTTTGATTACCATTTCATTTTGTCCTTTACTTCCTTTTTTCCTCTTTACAGACTATTTTCAGATGCCATATGACATGGTTAGGAAAGAAGTGGAACGCACTTTCAAAGAGACGTGCCAGCAGATCTCAGAGAGCATGAAAAAGTCTTTAGTTCGAAGTAAGGCACTGACTTACTGTTTCAGAATTAGTTTCTGGTCTTACTGGTATTATATTAACGTCTCTATGGAAAAAATTGAAGGCAAACAAGGCAGGGGTATACCACCAAGAGTAATTTCCTAGAGGACCTGAACAAATGGATAATGTGGAAAGACCAGAATAATTTTGTTTTGGATTTCTGTGATCATCTGAGCAAGGAAATGAATGGCAAAACATGTCTGCCAATGTCTCCTTCATATCTGGCACTTAATGATGGTGAAGATAATGAGTTTCAGGGGGGGGGGGGGTATATCTAGCAATGCTGTAGAGTCATAGTGAGTTGCACGTAGCTTGGCTCATGTTTAATTTAAGGCTTTGATCGCTAGGGGATTTCTCTTTCACTGCTCTAAGATTTGTGGACTTGCTGTTTTTCCCCATGTCATTGCTGATCATTTGTGTAAGCTGTTTCTAAACTGCAGCTAGTGCTTTGTGAATATGGGTTATCACAATATGTATGCAGTTGATGTTTTTGAAAAGGGAGGGGGAACAATTACATTGAATTATAGGCGAATTTCAAGTTGAAAACCATAGATACATGGTGCTTAAAAATAAAACCAAATTGGAAAAAATATCAATTAATCCACAGACAGGTGAGAGAGGCTAAAACAGCATCCGAACATGGATTGCTGATGCCTCTATAGATAAATTATTGATGGTCAGGTCAGGACTGTGATAGTCATGGTTGAAGCAGCCCTCCTCTAAAATGATCTAAATTGTGTGTATCGAGGCGTAAGACATTTACCGTTACATCTTTTTTTACAGCAGTGACCAAAGGTCATCCGTCCATCGTCATGTCACAGTCGGTGACCTCAGCTTCGGGCACGACTGACCGCGACACTTCAGATCGTCACCAGGGGGCAGCGGAGTCAATGGATGTGGAGAAACTCAAGAAGCAGATTCAGAAGTACAAGAGTATCATACAGCAGCAGGAGGAGCTGATACAGGTACAGGTTTTATGAAGGATTTTCTCTGTGCTTTAGTTGATGTTGTGCTGTACTGTGGATCAGATGGCTCTAGTTTGAATCCCTAGTAGGGTGATCTTAAACCTCGATCGTTTTGGGGGGTGGTTCAAGGCTTCGCACAATTACACTGTAAAAAAAAACCTTCAGTTCCACTGTTCTTCTAATTTCTTAGGCAAAGTTCTGCCAAATCTTAATTGCTTCTTCATCTAAAAACATAACTTTTTTTTCTCTCATCTCTGCAGCAATCACTGACATCGCAGTCACACTCTGTGGAAAGCAGCTTCCTGCACGAGTCTCAGCTGCTGAAGGAGAAAGAGAACCTCTCGGAGCAGAAGAGGCTGTTCTTTGAGGAGAAGGCAAATTTTGAAAAAGAACGCCGCGCTTACACCGAAGCTGCTGTCAGACTGGGAAGAGAGGTTTGTTTCTGTTATCATTGCTTTGAAGGCTTTTATTGATGCTGCAGCTATGAACTTCTGTCGAATGAAGTAATTTATTTTCATGCAAGCTGAGGTGAATAATGGTGTGTGCAAAATGTATTGCAGTGGTCTCTTTTTTTTCTAAAATGTGCTAATTTCCCCTAAAAAGTCTTTTCTGAAAGGTTGCATGAGAAAAAAACCAAATGGTATACAGCAATGCAGGTCTTTCAAGTGAACTTCCATTGTGTGTGTGGGTGTATGTGTGCGCGTGTGTGTGTGTGCGTACGTGCGTGCGTGTGTGCATGCGTGCGTGTGTGTGTGTACACGTGGTGAAACATCAAACTAATGTGCCAGGATCTGGACTGTAAAGATGTATCTTATCTTATATTATCTTATCTTATATTATCTTATCTTATATTATCTTATCTTATTGTTTGTGGAAAAAAGTTCTGTCTTTTAGGGTTTCGGATGTAACATACTCTCATTGTATTTTTATTTACCAACTACATGTCATTATGCCCACTGACAGTCTGAGCTTTGTCAGTGTTATCTATGGACGGACTGAGGGAATGACTGGTAGATTCTATTTCTTTTCTTTCCGTATTTTGTTTTTGCTTGTCTATCTTGATGTTTTCTTGCACCAAACGGTTGTTATTTTTAACAATATACTTCTCTTTCTTCTTCTTCTATCCCGTGGTTGGGGCAACCGTTGGGGCACCACTGCATTGGAAAACCAGCTCTCACCATCTATTTTTGTCCTCTGCTCTCCTCAGATTGTCACCCATCGTCTTTCCTGTCCATTCTTTAATGTTGTCCTCCCATCTCCTTCTCTGCCTTCCTCTCTTTCTCTTTCCTTGTACGGTTCCTTGCAGGATTGTTTTGGCAAGTCCTGTGGATTTTGTGACATGCCCATACCATTATAGTTTTCGTCTTTTCACTGTGGTCAGTAGATCTTCATATTGTCCCACTGCATTGATGATTCTCTTTCGTACTTCGGCATTTGAAACGTGGTCTTTGTACGAGATGTCAAGGAGTCTGCGGTAACATCTCATCTCTGTGATCTGAATCTTTTTCTCTAATTCTGCTGTTTGTATCCACGACTCGCAGGCGTATAAAAATACTGAGATGACCAGTGAGCGCATTAGTCTAATTTTTTAGCTGTGCGTGATGTTTCTGTCCCTTCAAATAGGCTTCAGTTTTGACAGCGCAGCTGATGTTTGCGCGATTCTGGAGAGAATTTCTGGAGAGAACTTCTCTTTACTCAAGCTAAAAACTTGTTGCATCTTGAGATTGAGCATTTGTATGTTTTTTGACAGGATAATTTTCTTGAACTTCTTCATCCTCAGAGACAAGCACTTCATGAAGAAAGGTCCAATTTTCTGAAGCAACATTTTCTCAACCTAAGCCCATTTAAAGAAAAGGAACACAGGAAACAGAAGATTGGTGGTAAGCTGAGTACTTTTTTTTGTGAATGATTGGCTATTTCTCTGATTGTATTTTCTTCATTTACTTAAATTAGTATAAGCTTATTGCTCTTTCGCAATGCGATATGGAATAAAAATGATGGAAACTTAACATTCTTGTTTTGGTTGACCATACACTGCGTTCTGGGAGTGGAATCTGATCTGCACAGTGGCTGGAGGGTGCCACTGGTAGGTCCTACTTCTCTTTCTTTCCCTCTGTTGTTTCTGTCTTATTACCATACCTTTTTTCTGTACCAAATGACTATTATTGTGTCGATGTGTTTCTCTTTACTCAAACTCAAAAACTGCATGCTACCTCTGCAGTTCCCAGGCTGTGATCTTCTGTCATTGCATTCTGGCATAGACTTTTTAAATCAGTGAGTCTTTTTTTTTTTACTCTCTTGTCATCATTCAGTCTGTGGGAGAGCTACTTAGAAAAACAGAAAAACAATAAAGTATATGTTATAAAACCCAAACTAGAACAGCGAAATCCTTCGAACCTCTCCAGAAGAGACGAAGTCATTTTTACTTGATTGAGCATCGGACACACAGCCCTGACCCACAAAACCCTCCTACAGGGAGATGAGAAGCTGTTCTGTGTCGGATGCGACACAGATTTTACCATTAGACACATCTTAACCGAATGTCTAGACTTTGGAGAGATCCTAAGGAAATATTATAAATGCAAGAAATTGCAAGACATTTTTTCCGTCATTGTTCGCAGCAGAATTTTGAATTTTATGAAGGCCATTGGCCTTTATGGCAAATTGTAAAGTGAAATAAATACTATTAAAATTTTTTACGTTAAGTAGAAAAATTGTTTTAGATTGAAAATATATATATATATTTACACTGATTTTTAAACATTTTAACATTTTAAAGTCTAAAAGCTAACCAACGGTGCAGGGAACTGTTGCGAATGCAAACAACTTGTGTTTCGCACGCTCATATGATCGTATGCAGTTTGCGAGTGCCGTAAAACCCTATACTACTACTACTTCTCTTGTCATCTTCAGTCTCAAAGAAGATAATAGGTTCGTGCACTCAAAAGTCTCTGTATGCATAGTTTTTCAAGGGTACAAGTTTAGTATGTATATCTTGTCTACGACATAATGCAAAATGTGGGTACTTATATGGCGTTATTGTGTTGCAAGTACTATAAAACTCTTACTAAAACTAAACTCAACTTGAAAAAGAATTTTTTAGTACCAAAGAAAAGCAACTAATAGGGCAATTGGGTGACAGGGTGGTTATGAAAATTTGATTTCAAATTGTACACCCGAAGTTCATAAATAGAAAGATTCATATAATTTCTTCTACATAGGTGGATCCAGCAACAGACTCCTGCCGGCCACCCCGGTTTTCTCCCCTGCACGCAGCAAAAGCAAAGACTCTGATGACCTACCTACAGCTGCAGACCTCTTCAAAGTGCTAGGTCTCAGTCCATTGAACTCGAGGTAAAAACTGGGGGGATTTCAGCTTGGTGGGGATGTACTGATAGTGCCAGTGCAAGTCTGAGAACTTGACAGTGCAAGTCTGAGGACTTGATTTTAAATTCTTTTAATTGCTTTAAAAAATGTTACCTGTGATTTATGCAGATATTATGTGACGCTTTTGTATTTTTTTCCGTCTAAGGTGTTAAAGTAGGTGGTTGGTGGGTGCTCCTGAGTGGTCTAATGCTTTAGTTCTTTTCAGTGTTACTGCGGTCTTAACTCCTCATCTCCGGCAAGTCTCTCCCAGTGAGGGCACATTGCTGTACTATGACTTTGACATTATATTACTTTTCGGCCATTGCTGAAAACAGGTACCTTTTATCGCGAGTTCATTTATTAGATGAAGAACTAACAAAATAGGTTTACTTGTTTTGATTTAATGACCAGTTTAGTGACATATATGTCACTTTTAGATTTCGTACCAATACAGGGCCCCAGCATAGTGGGTTTGCCCCCCCCACCCCCCTCGGAGATAAAGAGTTAATTTGCATATTGGTGAAATGTGGCCAGTGTGGTACTGATTCAACTTAAACTACAACGTATCAACTGCATGGTGGTGATATTTTTAAAAAGTAACAGCTGAGTCTGAAACTTTCATTCAATTTCATTTGCTCAGCTTTCTATAACTGGTTAATTTGGATTGTTGAAATCTGTTCTTCAACTCATCAGGACAACTCTTTGAGCTGAGTTAAGTGATTGTATGAAATTTTGATTCTATTTTCCTGAATTAGAGTGTGTTGGTGCACCTGTAACTTTGAGCTCTTGTTGTACATATATGGGAATGCCAATTTATGAATGCATATAATAACTCAGAAAAAAATTAATATATATAATAAAATAAAAACAGAAATAGCAAGAAGAGACCAATTTTGCTAGTAAAACTGAATTCTTTTTATTCTTAGTGTTTTTAATTACTGTTGAGTATGTATTGCTCTTATTAGTTTATGAGGTCGGACTTTTGTTTTTAGGCCAGTGACGTCTATGAGACTTGAAATTGGCTTGGTTTAAAAAAAAAATTGCAATTTAAGATAAAGTGTTGTTTGAGGGTGGGAGGAAGAAGGTCTTTATTTGAGATCAAGAGGGTTTAAAGAGCAGGTGTTATGTATAGTTTGAAAATGTGAACATGATGCTGACTTAATTGTGTGTTCAGTTATTCTGTGCCGGGGTAGCTTATTGATATGTGTACATGCTGTGTTCAGAGGTAACAGAAATTGTAGCTCACTTCTTCTTGATTTTTTTCATTTATTTAAAAAAAATTTATTTCGTCTTTTTTATTTTATTTATTTATTTTTTAAAAAATGTTATTTTGTTTTAGAAAAATTATACATCCTTAGCATTTTGCCATGTGAGATTTAATTGAGAGCTTCCTGTTGAAAGACATGAATTAAATAGTCAAAAACTAACAAACAGATCTAATCATTGTTGTTCGTATTCTGTTATTGCTCCATTTTAATGTTGAAAAGTCACTGTACCTATTCATTCACAACTCTGTAGTCAATGATTGTCTAATGTGAATAAGATTATTAACATGAAAAAGGGACATGGGGCATTAAAAAAAAAGGCTGCTGTTATTGGCCCACATGGCAAATAAGTTGGAGCTTATTGGCCCACGTGGGCCATTTAATTAATGTGTTGTTAATTCAATGTATTTCATACGTGGTGTTGTCCCAACTTGTTCTCTTTTATTTTTTCTCACTTTATCCCTTCTTGTTAATGTTTTCCTGAGGCATTCCGTCTCGCACACATTTCTACAGATTTGATTGTTTGTCAGGGTGTTCTTGCATTTCAGTGTTATTGTTATGCAGTAGACTTTGATCGTCTGCGAACAGTATTTCATTTAGAATTTAGGTTCTCTGGATGTGGGCATGCTTCTTTCGTCAAACAATATATTACGGTATTATTGAGTTATTTCTTTGTTTACTCTATGTATACTGTGTTGGATAACAAGATGAAGATGTGTAACTTCTTAGTTACTATATTGTTCATCTTTTTATTTTTTGCATTAGATTGGAAAACTATACATTCTCAATTTGAAATATGTGATTGACAGACTTTGTGGATTTGGGGGGGGGGGGGGGGGGGACACCAAACACAGGGGAGATAACTTTGTGGGCAACTAATAAATGTTCTAGGGGAAATTTTATATTCCCCTGTGGGCCAATAAGCAGTCCGTTAAAAAAATGAAATAAAAAATACAGCTTTCTGTAATGTCACTGACAGGTTGGTTGGCAGCCCAGACGTTAGTCAGAGCAGCTCAGGTACAGAAGCTCCAAGGGAAGGGGTCCCCGTCAGTAGCACACCTTCAAGAGTCACACCGCCTCCAAACGTCACTGGTATTTCTTCTGTCTCCTCCGAGACTAACCCAGCCCGCCGTTCATCAGCTGATGCCTCAAGTGTGGGTCTTGACATGATCAAAGCCTCTCTCCTGGGAAGAAGCTGTTCCTGTTCTAGACATGGTGACAGTCAGAATACTTCGTCTTCTACTCTTAAAAGAGACTGAGAAATGTTTTTTTTATGGTTGAAGCTGAATAGTTTGTACCGTTAAATGAAAATCAGAGGGTTTTCTTTCTTTTGTATTTATGAAAATGGATTGATCAAAATACTAGCAGTTCAGGCAAAAGATGCCTATGCATGAAGATGTGTGTTAGTATTTTAGTGTGAAAAAATAGGTACTTTAGGATTAGTGCTGAAATAATTTTAGCCAATGGGGGGCAATACAGTTTAATGGTATTCGATTTTGAAAAGGAATTATAAAAAATGGTTGTGGTAAATGCTAGAATATTTTATTGTCTCTAGTGTGCTCCAGTTGTTTGAGTGAAAAAAATCAGCTGGGGAGAGAAGCTGGGCTTTGTTTTAATGCTAGTGGGGTTTCTAGGTAATAAACCCCTTTTTAGTTTTTTCATTAAAGTGTTCAGGGGGAGCAGATAATGTAGTTTTGAAGGTGAGTTTTTGCCACTGAGCCCTGAGGTCTTTGTTCTTCTGTGAACTAATACTTGTTTGCAGTTTAAATTGACCTCAGTCATCAGTCAAACAAAATTGAAGCATATCAGTGCTATTTGACTGTAGCTCAAACTTGTGTATCATGTGTGCGGTCTTCACGGAAGTTGCGGGAGTCTTGTCTGCTTTCTTGCTTGGATAGGTGATTTAATATAAACACTACATAACCAGTTACAAGTTGTATTCATGTGATTTTTATTTAAGCCAATCTTAACAAAGTTTTTAGCGGTGGTGGCGACCCATAGCCTCAAAACTGGTCTCTCAGATGAGGAAAGTGATTTGTTTTTAGTTATGACTTTTATGGGCTAAAATGATTAGTTCAGCATTGTACAATGGCTGGCTTAGATAACTGCCTTTGTGCTTTCAGTTATTCTCCTTAGTCTTGATTTGAGGATAAATAGATGTAATGAAAAAATAAATATGTACTTGGCCAGTTGATATTGCAGACTTAAAAGATTAGCCATAGTGTCGTAGAAGAGTATGTTGTTCTTGATGAAGTAAGTGAAGTGTGATAATGTGACAGGTTTTTGTGCATAATATGGGGAGTCTTAAGACCCGATTGGTGCTGTTTTTACCTTGTGATGGGCCTTGAAATTGGTATTGTAATCGTCATAATCAGATTACTTGTCTTAGAGACAAACAAAATAATATAGATGAATGAATAAATGTGTCATGACGCAGTGGAATCAGGCTCTCGTCAATTTTTTGGCTTATGGAGTCATTGGTATAATCTGAAAGCTTATTAATTTATTTTGCTTTGAATTAAAGAAATATGCATCTGTCTTGAATAGAAGTTAAGATATTTGCAATTGAAGAAGGTGAGGTCGCCTGGTTTCAGTGATGAAATCAGCGAGAAAATGGCCTCCAAAGTTTGGTGGCTTCATTAACTAAAGAGTCCTTGAAAACTAAAAAAAATAAAATTTTATGCCTTTAACACTTTGCTGCCTCATCACGCCAATTGGCGATGTTTCCCACCCAGTTTCTTTGGATTTTCCCCAATATATGATGGCAAAGTGTTTATCAACGTTTTTCAGTAAATTTCACATAGAATTGTGTTTTTATATGGACATAAAAGGATTTTAGCCAAAAAACAAAAATCCGATAAAAATTGTCTAACTTGCGGAAAAATGCCTGTTTCTATGATTTCGCTAATTTGATGAGCGCTTGATTTCAACACGATACTTCACAAATTAATAAATAAAACGCCTCTTTCATTGATAATAATTGAGAAACCTCTGGTCATAATAGCAAGAACAATGCGCATAGAAAGTTATTTAGAGGTTACATCAGTGTGTCGTAATACACAAAATCACCAGGACATACACAATTTTACCAGCACGCCATTGCTGGTCACCAGATTGCACATCACTTTATTTTGAAACTAGGATTATCTTGTCTTGCTTTTAAGGACACACCTTGGGGACCCCCCTCCTATAGGATGTATCCTGAACATTGCTTGACATTACTGTTTGAGTGAGTTCACGAGTCACTCGGCCACCGGAGCTCCCAATTTGAGTTTGCTGGAGTTTGCATGAATACCTCACTCGTATTTCAGTACCAAGAAATGTGTCTCGACACGGTGGAATCAGGTGCTCGTCAAGTTTTGGGCATGTCGAGTTATTGGTATCATCTTAAAGCTTATTCATTTGCCTATTTTTTTATGAAAGGAAAACCCCATTTAACTTGAATGAAAGTCGAGGTATTTACGACTGAAGATTGAGGTAAAATTGGCAAGGAAATGGCTACCAAAATTTGGTGATTTCCAAAGCTTAAGAGTCCTCTGAAACTGAAAATATACATTTTTTTTTCACCTTTAATCAATATTTTTGAAAAAAAATCGATGTTAAAACTAAATTTTGAATTGAGATAAAGGTGTTGAGCCAGAAAACAAAAATTTGTTTAAAATTGTCAAACCATTGGAAAATGTCGTTATATTCGATTTTATTATTTTGAAGAGCACCTGCTTTCACCATGATGCCTCACAAATGTCATGCTGAGGTTTGACCAAAGTACTTAGCTCTTGCTTGTGAGTTATAATGGAACTTATTGGTTTTCCTGCTCTCCGAAAAAATAAGATGAGCTTTCTGGTTATAACTATTGCAATATGCCTAGATGATTTTTAAAAATATGTTTTTATTATTCATCTTTTTTAAAAACATTTCCCCTATATTTTATTATGTCAGAACAGATCTGAAGTAAATTACCTCTTACAGTACTTGAATATTTGCTTTTTTATTCATTTACTTTTTTTTATGTTGGTAGTACTTCTTACTGGCAGCATTTTGTCTTTTGTTCACAGAGGCATTTCTTTGTTTGTAGCGCTGGGAAAAGCCGAAATTGCCTTGTGGAATATCAGTTTTGTATAGTTCGTTTTTTGCTTTGTTAGCATAATATTATTATCTTCCAGTCTTAAGTATGCCTGACTGTTTGGTAGCTTTTGTCTGGTACATGCAGAAATATAGTGAGTTCTTGTTTTCTTTGTTCTTTGATTGTTAAAATTGTTGAGTCCCATTATTGTTTTGTTTACTAACATTTTTGTTACTAGTTGCGGGTGGTGAAAGAGTGCCCCTGTCAGATGGAATTATGTTACTTTCCATCTTTTTTTTTTTTCAAACTGAATGCCATGCTTCTTCTTAGCATCAGAAGAACGTTATTATTTCAATGTCCTTCTCTGTACTTAGCTCAGGATTCCACATCTGTGTGACATTATATATGTATGTTATAGAGTCTCCATGTAATGCTTATTGTCTAGGTGGTTGGAGTTTGTCTTTGGTAGGTCTTACTTCTTTTTTTTTCTTCTGATGTTTCTGTCTGTTTGTCTTATTCTTTTCTTACACTAAATGACTGTTATAGCGTCAATGTTCTCCTCTTTACCCAAGCTCAAAGTCAGGTGTATGGTAGTATAAGACAAGAGTTATAAAGACGCCAGGGTGCAGAAATGGCGAATACAGCATTCTGTTATATGATGAAGCACAGAAGGGGACCCAGGTTGTGTGTATTGATTGTTCAGACTTTTGTTATCCAAGGAATGTCTGCGTCTTTCTCTGCATCGCCCATCTGTTGTTGATTTTTCTCACCTTTGTTACCAGCATCTGTGTGTGGTGTAGCAGTTAGGTGCTTTGCTGTCGCATACAGAAGACAGATGTTCAGTTCCAATTGGAGATGGGGGTTTTTTTCAGTTGAGCGTCTTCCTTTATTTTTATGGCTAGTCTCCTCCGGAGGGCGGCAGTCTGCCGCATGCAGTCAAACATAATTATGAGGATCTCTTTGAGCATCTTTGACTGCTGAGTCATTGTATCTTTAAAAACCTGGCTTAGCCCCCCTACAAATAGGGCTGAAGCAGCCTTCCTCATTAATGGTCTGAATTGTCTTCCCTTCAGAACTATTTTGTCTAAAGTGTACTTAAGTAAAAAGGCACTTTGGACAAAATTGTCCTGAAGCAACGTTGTGTCGATGGGGGAGTAAAATGGCTACAATGGCTGCTATGGCTGCTATGGCTACAGTGGCTACAGTGGCTTCAATGGCTCTCTCCATTACTCAATTGACATGATATTCGTAGAATGTTTGAGATTTCTGCTTACAGTTTCAACCTTCTATTGAGTAAATCTTTGGTGCTTGGAATTCAGACTCATATGACTTAATTGGAAAGTGCCTTTGATATTCTGATTTTCTATGATTTATGTGCACCCATATAAACCTATTTTCAGACAAGAGTGAAGCCGCCTGCCTTATAAATAACCTGAATTGTGTTGATGTGGGCATAACACATTTGACATCATTAAATCATACCTCTTACCCGCAACAAGAATTGAGAAAGACATATTATTCTTTGTTTCTCATTGCAAAAAAATACTCATTCGAAACAGATTCATAAACTTCATCATTTGCGTTTAATTCATCATCTGAAATCCTTTGTTTTCTTTTTCTTTTTAGATGAATATTGTGTTCTTTATTTGTTTCATTTCTGTTGTTACATATTTTACTCTGGTTTGTCTGAGAATGCTGACAACTGATATAAAGCATTATCAAATATTTAAAACAACATTGTGTAAGAATATTACTCTTGAAAATAGCTGTTTGTCAGAGTGTTTATAAATATTTGTATGTATATGTGTTGGTGTGTTGTACTTTTGAGAATTGAAAATTAATGGTGATTATTTTTTCAAATGTGACGGAAACAATTATTGAAACAAATGAAATAGTGGCCAGTTGCTCCTGTAATGTGATAAATTAGTTGTGAATGTTAGATATTCCTCACCCTCAAGACATGGTATCATTTAACACTTTGCTGTCACTTGTCGCAATAATGCGCCGGTGAAAATGATCCGTTCCCGTCACTGCGCCGGGCCCGAGAAGTCTGTTGCAGTCTCTCTCCTGGCTGCCTGACCAGATGGGGTATTTTGTACTGCTGGTTGTGTGACTGCAAAGTGTTAAGCTAACCTGGCTCTAAATATTTTTCCCATTACTTTTATGGACTCTGATTGCGTTTAGAGCCCTGACTCGTGACAAAATGCTGCACTTTCAAAGTGACCTTTCTGTGTTGTATTTAGTAAAGAGAGGGAAAACTTGAGAGTGTGGGGGATGGAAAAAGTAAGTAATGTTTGTAAGTTTTTGTTGCCATTCTGAATGGATGAGCTCATGACTTCATGGTAACTACCTTAGACTGGTAACAGAAAGACCAGAACCCTTTACCTTCTCACTATTTCAACCTGTACACTCCCTCTTTTGGCAACACATTTTAGGTAAAAGTACTCTAGAAATCGTTATAATGTTGAAAAATGTGAACTCAACTGCGGGTAAAAATGTTTTTTCTTTTTAAAAAAGTTGAGTGAAAAATTGTGAGTGAGAGCTGGAGCAGCCCAAAACGCATAATAAAATGTGAAGTGTGCTGACAAAATGACTTATTTCTCACAATCCACAAATGCAGATATTGGCCAAAAATCGACAAAAGGGTCAACTTTCTAGGTTTTCTATTGATGCAACATTCATTAAGTACTAAATGCCTTTTGTTATTTCATACTTACTAATTGTAAAACCTTTACTTACAAGCATGTTGTATCTATTTCCATAGGGCTCAAATCCGAGAAGTAACTCATTTTGTCAGCACACTTCACAAATGTTCTTGTTGTTTAGTAAAGATCTGTAGCCTATGTGTTGATCATACTAGGCCCTGTTTCACCTTCCATTGCTTTTTTAAATATCAAATAATTCTCTTGATGTTCTTATTTTGCTGATATATCCGTGACAGTTGTACATAGCTGTTCTAGTGGGTGGTTGGCGGGTGCTCTGGTGTGGTTTGCTCCTTCTTTCCTATCAAACATCTATCTTCCTAATCTCCCCTTCTTCTTTTTTATGTTTGTTACTCTCTTGTAACACCTCTTATCTTCTGGCACTCATATGACCTTAT